GATTAACAGAAAATGTAGCTAATGGAGTGTAGTTCCTGGATCTACCCCTTTGTTCTTGAGTCTTCTATCTTATACTTCTTCCAAAAGCTTCAAAAGGCACCAAATAAAACTAAAAAATGGCAAGAAACAAAATAGCTCAAGATCACTTATGGTGGATTAGGGTTTTGAAGTTAGGGTTTTGGAGGTGATGGAGGCTAGACTGGAGGCCAGATATGATGCTTAAATAGGGTGAAAACCCTAAAGATTAGGGTTTCATCCAGCCTATCCTACTTGTCGAGTCAGGGTTGCGACTCGTCAAGTAGCTCACTAAAACCCCCGCATACAAACTACCTTTTACTCGACGAGTCAGGGCTACCAACCCGTCGAGTCCTTCTCTCAAAATAAATAGATAAATACTTAATTAAATGTGTAACAGGAAACCAAACATTACACTAAGAATTATAAATGTAAAACTAACGAATTAAATTAAACACTAGTGAGGTTTGCCGATCATCACGGTTCTTTTCCAGACACTCCGATGCATAATGACCAAACTTCTCACATTTTAAGCGTTTTACTTTGCTTTTATCCTTTTTGTGGTCATTCTGTTTTGCATTAGTTTCATGGCCACCTCCTCGGCCAAACCCTCGTCCTCGGCCTCTTCGTTGGCCTTAGCCACCACAACTATCTATATTCTTTGAGGTGTTTGACGAGATCCCCTCATTCCGGTTTCTTGGTTTGTGATGCCTACTCGACAAGTGTAACCAACAAGGAAGGTTTGTCTCCTTGTTCTCAAAAACCCCGAAGCTCCTCTTCACGGGTTTTTAAACGACCCACAACCTCTTCTAAAATCATGTTCTTTACGCCTCCAAATTGTTCTATAGATGTTACGATTTGAATAAATCATAATGAGACGGCTCGAAGAAATTTCTTTACCACCACAACTTCCTTAATTTTTTTGCTTAGAGATCGAATATCGATTACAATGGTATTTAATCTCGTGAAAAATTATCCACCAATTCACTGTCTTTCATTCGGATAACCTCGAAGTCACTTCTCAAGGTTTGTACTTTTGCCTCTTTTACCCAATCGGTGCCTATATACATCACTTTAAGCGTTTCCCATGCTTCTTTAGTTGTGTCATTCTCAGCTAACATAAGTAACACATCCTCCAGGATTGTTTGATAGATAGCTTTATTTTGAATTGCATGCCACACTCCTTATGCTTGCAAATTCACTCACATCTTTATAGCCCATACCGAGTAATTTAACTTCATAAGCATCAAATAATGTACGTAACTATTGTTCTTCTCAGATTTTTGAACATCTTCACCTTTATCAACTATCAGTAACCTTGGCATATACTTCGACATACAATAAGTATGCTCTAATACAACTTGTTGAAAATTAATGATCTAATTGCATACAATATTAAAGGTGAAGGGAAAATGACTTACAAGGACAACGAAGTTTCAAACCATTCAAAAAACCTTAAACATGTTTTGTCTGTTCAAAAAAACCCAACGAATTGATCATTTTGTCTAAAAAAGCCCAACGAAGTTTCCAAACCGTTAAAAAAATCTCAATCATGTTTTGTCTGTTCAAAAGATTAATTTCATTGGGTTTTTTTTAACAGACAAAATATGATTGAGGTTCTTTGAACGGGTTGGAAACTTCGCTAGTCTGACAAATCATTTTTCCAATATGGTAATAAGCCACGTCATCTGTTTCTCTTCTTTAACTTCCATAAAATTAAATAAAAATGTAACTTAGTTGGACTTTTTAGATAAAATCTTAAGTTCGATGAGTTTTTTTGAACAAACAAAATACGATTGAAATTTTATGAATAGTATATAAACTTCGTTGGACTTTTAAGTCATTTTCTCTAAAGGTGAATTATTGTTCGAACGCGTAAGCTGCCAAAAATACAAAGAGGCATAAAGTTTTTACAAGGTTAAAAACTTAAGTTTTTTTTTTTAAGAGAAACATACGGTTACCATGTTGAATACAATAAATAGTTAAGCACCACTCAAATTTATAACCTAAAACACAAGAAAACTTAATAGATATCCCATATAACTTAAACATATCTACTATAGCTATTAAAATAATTGACCAGTTGTCATTTGCTTTACAATTGACAAACAACTTGAAAAATGTTTAAAACAATTAATGTATCCAACAATTATTTATTAAAAAAAAGGGATAATGACGTGAAAGGGTAACGAACTTTCGAATTTTGTCACATTTAGTCACTAAATTTTTTTTCGTTATCTATTTGCCATTGAACTATTGAAACTGTTCACATTTTACCCTTATGGCCGTCTGTTACCGGTCATAAGGGTAAAATGTGAACATTTTCAATAGTTTAGTGGCAAATAGATAACAAAAAAAAGTTTAGTGACTAAATATGAACAAAATCGAAAGTTCGTTTCCCTCTAAAAAGTTCAATGACTAAATGTGAACAAACTTTCTCTTGTATTATGTTTTAGCAAATTATTTATTTTTGGTAAATTGTTGCAACATTTGTTGATGAAGAAATCTATGAAAAAAAAAAACCCTGAAAATATATGTAAAAAATAAAAAAAAAAACCGAAACCGAAATAAAAACCCAATGGTTTGACATTTTCCAAAATAAAAAATCAAAATTTCCAATCTGATTTTGGTTTTACAAAAAAATGAACCATTCTCACTGATGTGAATTATGACCATTGGTTTAAAATGCAAAATTTGTGATATCCCATGAATATGTAGTTACAACATCGTCTGAACTCGTAATTCATAGTAAGGAGTTAGAGTATCATCGCATGAATACGTAGTTACAACATCGTCTGAACTCGTAATTAATCACCTACAGGTTATGGGCCTGCTCGTGTTTCCACTGGGTTGTCTAGAATAGTCTGTGGTCGCCATCTATACTCTCGTAGATGACTACATCGCCACATTGCCGGTTAACGTTATGGTATCTCCTTTCATCCTACATCACATATTCATCATCGTCTATTTACCTAATTATCATCACCTTTTCATCACCTATCTCTCATCATTTTATTTCATCACACACCAACTATTTCATCTACCCATGTTTCATCCTCAACATATTTGTAGATATAAAATAAATATACCGTTTTAATCTTTAAAAACATGTATAAATCGTTCATCCAGCATAGACATCAAGTATTCAAATAATATGCATACATAGCACGTAATTTATATAAAATACTTCATATCTATGTAAGATGAAAGTAACTATATATACCATAAAAATCCCATAAATTCTTCCTAACTTCGAAACCCAATGTTTACTCTACTAAAGCTTCATGTTCTCGGCTCTCTGGACCTAGAAGGGTCCATATCTATCACACTAAAAAGCTCAAGATAGCTCTTCCTCTCACTCTACACACTCAAGCTCGCTAGGGTTCTCACTTATGGGAAAGGTAGTCGCAATTGAAGGCCATAAGTGCCTTTAAATATGGCTCGGGCCCAAAGATTTAGGGTTTCTGCCAACAGCGCGGACTCGTTGAGTCCATTCATTAATCCGAGTCATCAGTCGCGACCTTACTCGACGAGTTGAGGCGTCAACTCGTTGAGTCGCTCTTCTTAACTAAAAAGAAAATTACTTAAATTATGATACCTGAAAATCCGAATGTTACATTTTATTTTTTTATTTCATAGATTTCTTCATCAACAAATGTTGCTACGTACAATTAAACAAAAATAAATAATTTGCTAAAACATAATACAATAGGAAGTTTGTTCACATTTAGTCATTGAACTTTTAAGAGGGAAACGAACTTTCGATTTTGTTCACATTTAACCACTAAACTTTTTTTCGTTATCTATTTGCCAATAAACTATTGAAACTGTTCACATTTTACCCTTATGACCGCTAATAGCCGGTCATAAGGGTAAAATGTGAACAGTTTCAGTAGTTCAATGACAAATAGATAACGAAAAAAAGTTTAGTGACTAAATGTAAACAAAATCGAAAGTTCGTTACCCTTTCAAATCATTATCCCTAAAAAAAAACTATAATGAAAGAAAAAGTTATTCTTTCTTTTCTATCATTCCAAAACTATCATATCCTTCCAATGTTTAATAAAAAAATCCAGCAATTTCTTTTTTTATTATTATTATTATTATTATTATTATTATTATTATTATACATGCAGTTTAATATTATTATTATTATTATTATTATTATTATTATTATACAGCAATTCCTTTTAATATCACACTGAATGATCAACAACAATTACCATCCATCTGATGAAGTAACATGGTCATATGTGCATGATTGATTAACAACGTACCTACAATGTCTAAATGTAAAAAAGAGAACACATTATGAATTTATGATTAAATATTGTAAACTTATTGTATATGATTATATATATCTTGATATTTACAAAATTTTAACAGTTATATATTGAACAAAAAAAAACGTACATCTAATATATAAAAAGATATCTATGAACACATCCATCATAGAAAAATGTAATTGATTTCAAATGCTTTATTTATTAAATTATATATGCACCCGTAAGTGGTGTCACTCCATGATAATTAACGCAAGTCTCCCATATTTTCTTTAGATAAAGTGGCTGCATTTAAGTGGTCTACCATGTGCATCATGGAATTCATGCCTAGTACTTGTCGCACAGGTAAATTCCACTTCCATTATTACTTTCATGAAGGTGTGCGATTCCAATGTTAATTTGCAAGATCTTGAAAGAAAATTGCCACCATCGGCCAGACATTTCTTGAAACCAAAAAGGAAAGAAAAATGGTTTAACCTATTTTTTGTAAAATTACATGCAGTAATTACTATATATATATATATATATATATATTATATATATATATATATATATATATATATATATATATATATATATATATATATATATATATATATATATATATTATTTTAATTAACCCACAATTTCTACAGTTCAAAAACAACTAAAAATCAAGAAAAAAGCAAAACTTGAACTCAAATTCTTCGATCCGTTATATATTTACCATGATCCACCTCCTAATCCTCCACTACCTGTACCCCAATACCCACTTGAAGATTCTCCTTGCCCTCTAGTTGCCTCAAGCAAGTCACTATTTGATGTTGAAATAGGCTTCAGATCTTCAAAGGGAAATAATAGCCTAGCATTTGCACTTGTACCAGCAGTTGTGGTGATAGTACTCATGGTGCCTTGATGATTAGATACCCCACTACCTCCTCCTTGTGGATGATGATGATGATGATGATGATGATAATTACCTCCACCATTTTCAAATCCATCAAGAGAAAAATTCAAACCTGCAGGAGAATTCATGATCATGGTGTTTGGTAATGAGTTCATCATCACCTCTCTGGGATCAGCAAATCCACTTTTCAAGAATTCCATGGCTGAGAACTGAGTACTGGAGGTGCTTGTGGTGTTTGGATTGAATGGCAAGTTACCAAATTGAAGAGAAATGTTTGTGTAACCTAGGTTTAGGTCTTGACCACCTTGACCTTGACTACCTATACCTTGACCTAGGATCATAGTCTTGCTAGGGTTTTGTGTGATCATGCTTTGTGCTGGTGGGGCCATCATCATCTGGTGCTGATTTTTAGATATCGAAGCTGCTACTGCTGCTGCAGATGGTACTGATGATGATGATGATGATGTTGATGACGATCGCTTGTTCCTCCGTGAACCACCGCCAACCGGAACGTTTCTTAGAGATCCACCTTCGGTCCAGTACCTTCGACAAGTCTTGCAAAAGTATCTTGGCTGAGAGAGGCTGTAATTGTTGTAGTAACAAAACTTTGTGTGCGCTGAATTGCACCTTGGACAGTTCAAAGCTTGTGGCTTTTGTGGTCTAATACTTTTCTTTTCTTCCATGGATTTCACCACTCCCAATCCCTGAAAAGTTGAAAAAGAAAAAGAAAAGGAGGAACACATGACTCCATGCTATCAAATCCAAATCAGTTTGTCTCAAAAAGAAAAGCTTTTTTTAGGTCAACTTTTTTGAGTGAGGAGGGAATTTAAAAGGGAAAGTAAAGAAAGTGTAGTAAGTACTTTCAAGAACAATATTATGAGATATGTAATACAGACAAACACAACTCAAAGATTTGGGTTTAATTAGTGGTTGAACAACAACATGGTACACACCATCATCTCTTTTAAAAGTGCAAAAAACTAAACCTAGCCATCATCAAAAGCAAGAAACAAATAAAACCCTAGTTAGAAAGTTAAAAATCTAAGACTGACTGAGAGACAGACAGACATATGCATGGTCTTTATATATATAATTGAACTGAGATTAGGTTACCTCCGACCACTGAGCAGCATCCATTAGATGATCTCAAGAAAAGGGAAAGTTCGTGGAGATGTTGAGAGAGAATGAGAAAAAGGAGACTACAGACACCCACCCACTTTTGGAGGGATTGGAGGTGGTCATAACTCATAAAGCAAACCAACACACTGGAAGGAGGTGCGGGTTGGCTCGCTCAACTCACTAGCTACTACCTTATTTATTTATTTATTTATTTTGGGAGGGGCATCTTTGTCTTCACCCACTATTTTCTAAAAAAAACCGTTACACCTTATTTGTAAAAATTGCTTATTAAACTATTGTAATGTTATACTTTATGTCTCTTAAAACAAGAAATTATGGCTTTGTAAAATAATGTCAATTAAACCGATATTGTTTTATTTATTCTACGTAAAACTATATAATTACATGAATTATTTTTTATTTTTTATTTTTTTTTCATTTTGAAAATAAGTTATTATGTTTGAAGAGAATCTTGTGACGTTTAGTTCCATATCATCGTTATAAACTTCTTTTAAGTTGTAGAGATTTTCGTATGGTTATTATTTAGACATTAAGTCATACATTATAATTAATGCTTATTTACTATGAATATTATAAAGATTTTTTTTAATTTCAAATTAAAAAACAGCTAAATGATTTGAGTCAATAATTTTGAGAATAAAAGTAAATTAACAGAATCTTTGTTAAAGTGATTTTGTATGTGAGTGGAATTTTGCAGGTATGCAAAGTGGAGTGTTTTATATTCTCTGTTTGTGACTTGGAGAAAGTAATGCTTGTCCGCTTCATGCAACATCTTTTCACTCATTCTTCATTATGCTTTCTTGTGACATGAAGGGACATGCAAAATTATTATTTTTTTCCAAAGAAAGACAAAAACAGGTAATTAAGCAACTTATCATATCACTAACGATTATTACTTAAAACGTACGAGTCAGATGAAAAATCACTGATCTTTTCATCAATATTGTATACGTGATCAAATTTGACAATTGGAGAAAAACCAATATCTAGGTATGTTCCTCCTCTTTTGACATCAGTAATTAATTGAGATTTATAAGCATTGAAGTATAAAATCATCGTCCTCCCCAAATGAAAATTATGATCAACCCAAAATTTCCATCAATCCTTTAAGTTTTTTGGATTCCATTATCGGAGGAAGACCGGTACTTTCATGTTATTTACATGCTTAGTTTTTTCTTTGAATCAAAGATGCTTCACTAGCTACAAAAAATGTAGAGCTTCAATTACAGTTACTCTTAAAAGTTAGTTACAACTGTTATTGTCTTTTATAGACCAAAAAATCACGTAGTTCCCAAATTAAGTGAAACCAATAAAAAAAATTCAACAACACTTGTCTAGAGTCGGGTCGTAGACCTTAAAAAACTGGACGAATCAGTTCCACCATGTTAAAACCGATCAGACACAACCGATTAAATTTTTTAACAAAACGATTGAAATATAAATTAAAAAAAAGTACGTTTTTAATGAAAAACTATTAGTTCATTGATAAAACGGTGAACGGAGAGCGAGAATCTTTAACACGTGGGCTTCTTTTTATTACAACAATTTATTTATTTATTAATATTTTTAGAGTACCGATTAAGAGTAGTTAATTTTTTGTTATCAATCCCATAATTTAAAATAACAAATTGATCCTAATAACTTATTTTTTTTTTCTTCTTTGAAATGATTTTTAATACATTTAAAAAAAACAAACTCAAGTTAGGTTTCTTATTTTTCTAAGATAGTTCTTACTTTTTCTACAATATATTTTGTAAATGAAATTGAAATTTTAGGTAGGTCATAGGACCTACCTTGGGCGGTACTAGATACGCCCCTGAGTTTTATACAAATCATTGTATATAAATAATCTCTTTCAGTTCATTTGTAACCTAACGAATTCAGTCAATGAAAGAATGATTAAAATTTCTCTCTCTTGATCTTAACATGGTATCAGATTTGGTTCTTAATCTTTCTTATTGAATTGATTTTTTTTTGAAATAGTTTTTTCATCATCGTTTGTTTAATTCGTCATTTCTTTTCTCAATTCAATCAGAATGTCTCAATCAAATCCTACTAATTCTTCAATTCTTGATCAATCTAGTCTATATTTCTTTAATTCTTTTGATAATCGAAATTCTCTTAGTGTAACATCTATATTCAATGTTATTAGTTATCATTAATGGAAGCGATCAATGAAGATTGATTTAGATGTGAAAAACAAAATCGGATTTTTAGATGGATCAATCTGCAACCTCTTTCATCCGATTCATAGTATTCCAATTGGTTTCGAGCTAATTCAATGGTGATAAGTTGGATCCTAAATTATGTACACGAAAACTTTGCAGTGAGATCACTCTTCCTTCAAACTGCAAAATATATATTGATTGAACTAAATCATCGTTATAAACAAGCCGATGGTGCTTTACTCTATCAGATTCAACAACAGTTGTACTCTATGTCACAAGGATCAGAAGATTTTTCAGCTTATTTCACCAAGTTGAGTAAAATTTGGGATGAATTAAGAATCATTCAAGCAATTCCACCTTGCTTTTTCATGTCTGCTGTTGCAATTCACAAGTTCTTAGAAGATCAAAGGCTCATTCAAATTTTGATGGGACTTAATGAGTCGTGTAAAATTCTTCGTTGCCATATATTCATGATAAATCCATTACCAACTGTGTCCATAGTTTATTCAATGATTGTTCAAGAAGAGAGACAAAGAGGATGAAGATCTTAAATCAACGATGTCTATTTTTTGCTCCGGACTTGCTTCTATTACTCTTTTAGTCACTATGTATCCAAGGAACTTTCCTGTTCTCATTCCAAAATGGCATTTGGAAGGATTCAGCTTCATGTTGTATTCGTCTAGTATGTTGAAGGCTCATTCAATATCTTTGAGGTGATCTTCAACTTTCTTTAACTTGACCACCATGTCATCGATGTAGACTTCCATGTTGTCCCCTACTTTATCCTTAAACATCTGTTTAACTAGCCTTTGGTATGTTTCACCTACATTTTTAAGACCAATGGGCATAACATTATAGCAGTATCCTCCTTGTCAGATGGTCCTATTTGAATTTGTTGGAACCCTGATGATGCATCCATGAATGTTAATAGTATGTGGCTAGTCGTAGCATTTATCATGGAATCTATGTGTAGCAAGGGAAAGGATCCTTAGGGAAAGTCTTGTTAAGATCCATATAGTCCACACATACTCTCCATTTACCATTCTTCTTTTATACGAAAAACATGTTGGCTAGCTACCTTGGGAACTTGACATCCTTGATCATCCACATTTTAAGAAGTTTTTCTACTTCTTCTTGGATGATCTGATTCCTTTCGGGTGTAAAATTCCTTCTTTTTTGATGTATTGGTCTGAAAGTAGGATCACTATTAAGTTTGTGAGTTATAATATTTTTGTCTATACCTATCATGTCTCCATGCTTCCAAGCGAAGGTTTTCCTTCTTTTTTTCAGGAACTTTATTATATCTTCTTCTATGTTTTCTGGCAGTGAGGATTCCATGAGTATTTTCATATCAGGATGCCTAAGGTTAATGGGCCCTTCTTTTGTATCTTGTTCTCCGGCTTCTAGTACATCTCATTCCATTTGCATTAATTGTTATGCTTGTTGTGAGATTATGGAAGTCTTCATCGAGGTCTTGTAGCACTCCTTGGATTCTTGTTGGTCACCTGTGATCTTTTATGTCCCCCATGGGGTGGGCATCTTCACACATTGATGGTATATTGATGCGAACGCTTTCATCTCGTGGATCCATGGTCTTCCTAATACAAAATTATAGGAAGATATTGTATCAATTACGCAAAACCGTTGCGTAGAGTTTACCCCCACTATGTAGACAGGCAGGTTTATTTCGCTGACGTATGTTTTGTTTCGCCATTGAATCCCATTAGTACTAAGGATCTTTTGACTATTTCGAACTCTGGGATGTTCTTTCTTTTTAAAGCATCCATGAGGGGATCCTGGTTTCTCTAGGATCTTATGAGAATCATTATCCTTTTTTATCTTTCTCTTCTTCTTCCAATGATATCTTTGAGGTATCCCTTGCTAAGTAGGTTACTGATCTCCATCCTGAGAGTTATGCAGTCTTTCGTAACATGACCAAAGTCCTCGTGGTATGCACACCATTTGGACTTATCTTTCTAGGTCATGGACTTTTCTCCCTTTCTTTGCCATCTCTCTTTGTCGCCAAGATCTTGCATAGCGAAAATTAAACCTGAAACATCCATAGAAAAGTAATAGTCAGTGATCTTGGGAAATTATTCTTCCTCCCCTTAATCTTCAAGGGCATTAACCTTCTGATGATCAGGTTTGGAATATGGTTTGGACTTATAGGATCTCTGGACCGAGGATTCGGCCTTCCTATTGAGGTTATCGTATCATTTTGGTAGGTTGCTCCTCTTTTGGATCTCATTGTCTTCTTCGAGCCTTATGAACCTTAGTGTTATGTTTCTTACTTCGTTCATTCTTATTGCATGGAGTCATTACAAGGTCTTTGTAGAAAGGATAGTCCTTCTTTAAGCCTATTTTAAGGCTTCTACAACAATTTCCATATTGATATTAGGGATACTCAAAGCCTCCCTACCAAACTTGTTCATAAAATCCCTAAGGGACTCCTTAGGATCCTGAACCACTCGGTAAAGATCACTAGTGATCTTTTCGAATGTTCTGCTACAAGAAAATTGATTGTTGAAAAGACTAAGTAAGTGAGAAAACGAAGTAATAGAGTAAGGAGGAACGTTAAGAAGCCATTTTAAGGTTGGTCCTGTGAGGGTTAAACCGAAACCCATGCATAGACAAGCTTCCTTCAAATGTGTGGGAATTGGGATGATGTCCATTATTTCCCTATATTGTGTTACATGTTCTTCAGGATCTGTAGCTCCATCGTAAAGTTTCATGTTGGGAGTTTGGAAGCGCTTTGGAACTTCAGTGTAAGCTATCGCAGGAGCAAATCTTGAGATCCTGTGGCTCGTAGGGGATACTTCTATTATAGGTTGGACCACTCGGGGCATACTCGAGATCATCTACCTTAACTGCTGGAGTTCTTTGGCCATGAACTGGCTCATTCCTGCATCAAGGTCCATAGAGTTAGTATTAAAAGTATTATTATTCACGAAGTTACAATAATCATTGTTATTGGGAGTGATG